GAATGAGAGATAGAGAGCACGAGAGGGAAGAGGGTCAGAGGGAGAAGCAGACTCCCTGCTGAGCAGGGAGCCCGATGTGGGACTTGATCCCGGGACTCCGGGATCATGACCTGAGCTGAAGGCAGTTGCTTAACCAACTGAGCCACCCAGGCACCCTACTAGTGGGATTCTTAATGTGGAGATTCTGAAAGGCCTCAGACTTAAAACGTCCAAGGGTCTGCACATTTGTCTCATAGAAACCATGAAATGAACCAGGGCTAAGCTCCTGGGTTGCTTTTAAAAATCCACTAGCCCACTGCAGGGCAGCAGGACTGAGAGATTTGCCTAAGCTCTAGGGTGAGTAGGGTGAGATGAATCTTCTTTATTCTTAAACTCAAGGTTAACCCTGGGCAAAAATTTACGTATTATTTTTATTTATTTAGAGTGTATATGTGTTCTAATAGATTTAGAGGTAAGCTTAACATAATAAACATGTATAAGAAGAACTAATTAGCTCTGAACTTCCTGTCCAAGGCAAAATGGGAGGCATGCTGGGCTCTTTTAAGTTTCCACAGCCTGATGAAGAAAACATTAAAATTTGCTGGGAGAGAAGCAATTTCTAAAAGAAATGGACACATGACCTACAGAAGGTAGCAGTGTGAAGCAATGTAACTATCTGGGCCATAAGGACATTCTTTACAAATTTGCTTCTGTAATGGCCACCAAGATCAAGTCGTAGGCTTGGGAAGGCCTCTGACAGGAGCTAAGCTAACACGGTCCAAGAAGGGCATTTTCTGGTGAAGGCTGAGACATAGCTGAGAGAAACTGGTGGCCCCTTGCGAGAGTTCTTCCAAAAATCATCAGTGATCTCCACCATTCTCCTGGTGATGGCCAGAAAGCTGTCGGTTCAAGGCTGAGCAGACAGCTTGCTTTTCATTAAAAATCTGACAAAGTTTACTGGCTGACATAGATGTTCTAAAACGGGTGTGTCTCCAACACACCACTCTGGCCTCCCCGAGCCTATCCTTCAGGTTATTTTTTATGCACCACATCATCTTCCTTCTGTTGCTACTCCAACTTCTCACTCCTAGAAGGCAGCCAATTTCTGCTAGGTTCTGGGACAGGGACAGCCCACTGTACTAATTCACACCAGATCTCAAAGGTCAGAATGGTTCAAACCTTCCAGATGATAGAATAATACATAAATATTATTAATGATATAAATAAACACATTTTATTTTATTTTTTTAAAGATTTATTTATTTGACAGAGAGAGACACAGTGAGAGAGGGAACACAAGCAGGGAGAGTGGGAGAGGGTGAAGCAGGCTTCCCGCGGAGCAGGGAGCCCGATATGGGGCTTGATCCCAGGACCCTGGGATCACGACCTGAGCGGAAGGCAGAAGCTTAACAACTGAGCTACCCAGGCGCCCCTAAATAAACACATTTTAAAATAGGCTATTTACAAATACTTATATGGTAGTTGGTTAAAGGTCATTTTCTTTTCTTTTGTTTCTCTATTTCATATATTTTCTATAATAAATAGATATTATATTCAGAATTAGTAAAAGAGCTAACCAAAAACCCAAAGGGCTCTGTTAACCCAAATAAGTAGAATTTTTGGCAGGTTAACAAACCAATGTGAAAGAATTCACTGTATACGGGCAAGAGTATTAATGCTACAGTTTTATAAATCTTCCATGTCCTTCTACTTCTGATTGACAGTGTTATTTAAAAACTCCATCTAAGGTGCGCCTGGGTGGCTCAGTCGTTAAGCATCTGCCTTTGGCTGAGGTCATAATCCCAGGGTCCTAGGATCGAGCCCTGCGTTGGGCTCCCTGCTCAGCGGGAAGCCTGCTTCTCCCTCTCCCACTCCCCCTG